TTGCTGTTCTTTTGTTCTTCAGTCTAGTTGTGGAGGATGTTGCTTCACTGGCCCATGTTGGTATTATCATTGCGCTCTTCCCGGATGAGGTAGATCGGTTGCCGGCCTCTGGATGGCTGCTCACAGTAGCTTACAGCAGCCCACTGCAGCCTAAGCCATCGTGGGCAACTCAGAGCAGCCCAGCTCCAGGTCGAGCTGTTGTTCACCATCTTGGCTGTAGAGGGCACTGTCACTGGCCCATGTGGGATCCGAACCGGCGGCCCTGCTGCTTACAGTTCGCGTTCCCAAGCCAACTCAATCAATGAGCCACTCGGCCGGCCCTGGCTTTCCCTTATTTTATTATGCTTGTTCCTTTCTTATTTTCTCAGCGTACTAAAACAATTTCTTAAACCCACTTTTTAATTTATAAATTTGATTTCCATGCTGAGATTTTCTGCCTCCATTATCTTTGCTAAGATTTCTAAAAGTTGGCAGTCATGCTTTATTTTTCCTTAAAGAAATTTCTACTGTTCTCAAATTATTGTCCTGTCATAGATTCAGTAATCTTTTGACTATAACTGAAAATAACAATTACAGTTATAATATTTTCTATTTTATACATGCCAACTTTTTTCTTTTCTAGAATTGGAAAACCTAGCGTTGAATTTCTTTATTTTTCCCTCTCTTGCCAGAGTGTATTTATATTTTAATTTTTATTATATACTTTTGACTTTTAAAAGAGTTTAGTTATGGTGAAAAATTTAAAACATTTGCAAAAGCAGAGAGAATAGTATAATAAACCCTTCCATTCCCATTTTATAGATTCAGCAATTACCAACTTGTAAACAACCTTGTTTTATGTAGTCTCCTGCCTTCTTCCCTGACGAAACTGAATTGTTTTGAAGTAAATCCCACACGTCTTATTTCTTTCACAAATATTTCAGTATATATCTCCCTAAATTGACTTTTGTTTTGAAACATAACTATAATGTCATTATTACAACCACATTTTTAATTCCTTATGATCATTATTACATTGGCATATCTATAGGTTCTTCCAGATTCTCTTTATAAATCAAAACCAAAGCTGGCAGATTTTAGTTCTTTGGGATCTAAAGTGACTTATTTGTTAAGTAGTCCTTTGTGCTAAGAACTTTATATATTTGTATTAACATGGAAGACTATCCAAATGATATTAAGTTAAAAAACAAGTTGCAAGACAGTGTATGTAGTATGATTACAAGTAATTTTTGGAAATTATTAATATTCACAAATTTAAGGAATACTGAAGGGAAGTGGGTCTCTAT